AGTAAAGTATCGTTAAACTCTGATTGTCAGGAGTAAGTAGTAATACTCAGTCTTTAGTCCAACAGACACTAGTCTAGACTCAATTTGAAGCTTGAGTTATGTATAAAGTTTCATTTTACTGTACATGAGTGAGTTTCAATGGTAAGTTTTAACTAAATAGTGAAAATTCAATGTATTTAAGTCGACAAGAGTTACTAGTTTTTGGTGAGACAAATATTCTAATGCTAATTTTAACCTGTCATAATACTTGAACTGGCATTTTATGAATGTACAAATACATTTTAATAATTGGTTAACTATGGCTCAAAAAATAAATAATTTAAAAAAAGTTAGTAGTACAACTCAATATTTAGTTAAACAACTGTTTCACTGCTAATTTCAAGCTCAAGTGATACGTAGCTAATGTATTACTTCATTTACGTACAGGTAATTTTAGCTGTTAGTAATTATTATGTAATGGAATAATCAAACAAACTAAAATGGACGAGAAAAAGTAGTATCAATCTATTATTGGTCAGACACATAATCTAAGGAAAATTTTTATTTCACGTTATTTTTAAAATGTATAAATACAGTTTTTTAATTACCGTTCAATATACAAAATTAAACAAATTAATAGAAAAGAACAAGTAGTACTACTCAATAATGTGTCAGACGAATAATCTAGCATTAATTTTAAACCTAAATAATATCTAAAATATCGTTTTAGTTTCTTGTATAAGCTATTCATAATATTTACTGCATTAGAACATGTAAGGGAGTGTAAATGTATGAAAACAAGTAGTAATACTGAGTCTTTTGTCAGAGATGTAATAATGTACAAAATTAAGTTTTATATAATATTAAAAATATTCAAGTTATGCATAAGCAAGGACTCATAGTTACTGAATTACTACTGAGTATACATACTTAAATAAACTACGATAGAAAAAAAGAAATAGTATTACTCAATCTTATGGGAGACAAACAATCTAGTATGGATTTAAAATCCGTAATTATATATAAAATTTAATTTTGATTAAAATATTTTTAATTATTACGAAATAAAAATAATTAAATAAATTCGAATTGAAAATAAGTAGTATTACTCGGATTTTGGTCAGACACATGATCAAGTACAAAATTAAACTTTGTAAATATGCAAAATATTTAATTTATGTATAAGTACAGCTTGAAAAGTATTAACTCACCACTTGATATACTAAGAAAACTTGAATACAAAACAGTAGTATTAATTAAGCTTTGGTGCCACATACAATTGAGTATTTATTTAAAGCCTACTTAATATCTAAAACATAGTTTTAACTGTGTACAACTACTTTTTAACAATAAGTGACTCATCACCAACTATGAAAAATCTAAGTAAACCTGAGTCTATCGGAAGAAGTAGAATTTTTAAGTATTTATTTAGAAATTTAGTAAATCATTGAATGAATTTTGTTCAAATTTTATTGATATAGAAAATATCATTCAAACCATCCAACAAGCGGTTGCATGAGAGGGAACAAAAGATTGTTTAAACTGAATTAAAAATTTTTCTTTACTGGGATTCCAAAGCCACTGCATGACATTCAAGTACTCCTTCTAACCGGAACGCGAGGTAATTGGGTTAACGATGACGTTACATCAATTTAAATTCAAATTAGGTTGGAGCGCAGCTCTAATAATATTAGATCGCTGTAAGCATAGCCTTGAGGGAATATTCTGATAGCAGCGCAAGTTTATTACAGTAACGTTGGATATTTGATGTCTCGAGATTAATATAAAAATGAATTTCAGCTAGCCTACGGAAAGATTAAGCGATATTACCGGTAAAAAGGGAGGGAAAAAAATCCTGGAAAGTACCAATAAAGGTTCGGGAAGCGTGCATTGTGTCGAAGCTCCTTTGTGTATCGTATTAAATCCATGGGGGGAAAAAAAAAGAAGAGCAAGTATAGGATGATGAATTGTAACCCAGTGAAAATTCTAAATCACCTCGCGAGCTTTGCATACAAATAGCCCGTGTAGCTATACGCAACGCCTAATGAGCCGTAGTAGTGGTAGCCCCCAATGGAATATCTATCAAGCAATTTGGCATTCACGAGCAGTAAGTCACGTCGTTCGCTAATTACCGCGGCAGCACAGTCACAAGCCTAGGGAGGAAATTCTCGGCTAAACCTAATATAACTCGAGAGGAAAATTAAGGATATTCGCACAATGGGAGATTCTATTGCTCCCTTCGCATCTGGTATTTTTTTCCCAACACACTTTGCCCGTGACCTTGTGACCTTAATCTTCGTTTCGTCCATTCCTTTTTTTGACGCTCATGCAGACACGGACACGCCCACTACGCATCTGTGCGTTGAAGAGAAGCTCACCAGGGGATGGCTGGGACTCTGAAAACCCTTCAAAGCACGCTGCTCTGAATAGTGGGTTCAGTACCGTGAGAAGATTTTGGTCTATTATTTTCTCCCTCTTGTGCGAGCACTGCATTATTTTCGCTTGTCTGAACAAATTCAAGCGCAACAAGCGTGATCGTGGATTTTTTTCCTAGCTAAACTACTTTCCTTTTTTTTAGGTAAGAAGTTTTGAGGCGAAGAGTTAGAGGTTAGTAGGGGAGCTAGGGGTTGGTTACAATAATTTTACTTTAAATCATTTAGTATTTAAATGAAATTTTTAATTCCAACCAAATATCATTTAAAATCCAGAGGTGTTATATTAGATTAAGGTAGCCCTTTTTCTATAAAGTACACTTGCTAGAGAAGTTTAGAATCCGCATTAAAGGCGTTAAAAAATTTTTTTCCATATTCCATGAAAATTTAACTCTTCTTTAAAGCAAAAATTTTCCCTCAATAATTACATTGATTATTTTTCACTTTACCATTACACTGAAAACAAAACATTTCATGCTTTTAACTTATTTTGAAAAAAAATATCCTCAAAGTAAAAAAAGCTACCATCATAGGTAGTTACAAAATGAGGATTGTAAGAGTCCTGCTGAGTGAATAGTATTGAGGAGATTTTTAATATTTTCAAAAAATTTTTCTTTCTTGATTATACTGTGTATGTTAGTATTTTAGTAAAACTTAAAAATCATTAGACACATCAATCACGTCAAGCTCGTATTCATAAAAACAAGCACCCAATCGTCTGGACCTTATTCTCCAAATTTATTGTTCATAATACAAAAAATTTCGCTCCCACCAATGCCATAGGAAAAAAACTCGGACATAAATAAGCAGCCTCGCATCCACGTCCAGAATCGCACTGCAGCAAGTGCCTTATCAACTTTTACTCAGCACTGAAAAAAAAAAAACAGCCTAGCGAGTAGCAACAACGCACCAGCCATTCCTCACAAAATAAAGCTTCCAGACTCATCTGCAGAGGAAAAGGGAGATAATGAAAGACCAAAGGGGTATACGCACACAACTCGCCCCCTGGAAGAAATTTATGTGCGACTGCAGTTCGGCAGAGAACGTTACAAAAGTGGCCACTGCAGCGAATCCATTACCGGACGCTGCACGCACGCGAATAAACATGACGAAGGGCCCGAGCGCTGCGGAATCGAATTCACTGCCTTGTGAAATATCGCGGGAGTTTTGGGAGGTCTTTGGAACTTGATGCTCATTATTGGACGGACGGATATGGACTTGCTCATTTATTAACAGATTTGTCAGTATTACATGCAGAATTGCGTTCATGATCCTTTCAAAAGGATTTTATGTTTCATTTTCGTGAAAAGTTTTTTATTGCTCGTGCGATAGAGGGTATTTTTTTTATTTTACACTCAAACGAAAAATAACGATTTATTGAATCCAACGATGGGTGTTGGGTTATTTTCTTGTTTTTACTAATTTTTTATGGCACCGGTATACAAAGAGTCGTCGTTACTAATCAAAGAAATATTGCAATTTGATGAGAAATTTGATACTGCCTCGAAATATTTCATACCGAGCAAAACAATAATTCCAGGCATTCGTATTTTTGAGGATGTTTCACGAGTAATTTTCAAAAAATATTGATATTTTTTCCAATAGCGGTATTGCTTGTGCATGTTTACTTTATTACGTTTCCTTTAAAAAGAATGTTGGCAAAAATAATTTTTTTTTTAATTTTTTCAAGTAATTAAATGCATTCATCAAAGATTTGTGAATTCCTACAAAAATCATAGCTTTACAGGAGTTTTGAAGCAATATACGGTATTTTACAGAAATGAAAACGATTCTCGAGCAATGTATTTGTTATTGGTGCGTTTAACAAAAATGTAACCGATACTAACAAATAAATGGTGCTTCTTTTATACAGAGCCACTGGTAGTTTCAAGCAATCAAAGTCAATTTAATAATTACAACGCCAAAGTGATATACAGTTGGGTACTATGTTCAATATCATTATCAGACATGAATTTATTTTCTGACATATTTATCAATTCCATTTGTAATTTTGTATGCAATTAATTACATGTAGGATTTGTTCTGTTTTGGAAGACCAGCAAAATCACCAAACGCAATTATTTCAATTGATAAATACTCTTTGTTTGTTGCGGTATGTTTGCTATTTCATTTTGTGTGTTTACCTGATAACAATGCTGTGGTATGTGTCAAAGGTACGAATCGCTTCGAATGAAAAGGATGATGATGTAAATGTTAATATTATTATTATTTTTACCTCGTTCGGGAAATGTCAAACAAATTTTTAATACTTTTAACTTAGAATTCGATAATATTTTTTAATTAAAATTACGTATGCACGTCATCGTTTTTTCTATTTTTGCAATTCACCTCACTTACAAGATTTTATCTTTGTTGTACCGTACGGTGATTGAATTTTATAATAAAATGCATTAAAAGCATTTATTCCGCTCGACCTTTTTTTCCACATGCACTTGGGCCATTTGTACCATTATCTGTATTTGAAAAATAAGTATTTTCTCAGATACTCATGACACTGCAATGTTGAATGGTCTGTTAAATGACTCACACCCTACTAACTTTTATAAAAAAAAAAAAAATCCCTCTTACCTGAGAATACGACTCATCCTGATACGGCGTTCTCCGGTTGCACTCGTCGTAGCACCTGGTGTCGTAGCCGCTGGGTGGCCTCGGATACGTTTCTTGGCCAACAGCAGCTGCAGCAGCAGCAGCAGCCGCGGCCGCCGCAGCCGCCGCGCAACAATCGGGTATCTGTGCCGCGTAAGCCTCATAGGGACATTTTTCGAGCAGTCCCACGGTGACGGCCCCACTGTTACCGGTACGCCCCACCGATAATTGCTGCTGCTGGTGCACCCGCTCCTGCGGTCCTCCCAGCCCGTAGCCAACACCGCCACCCAATCCGTGATGCATCCTCCCACTCCGACCACCTCCAGCTTACCAGCCTTGTTTCTTATTTTTGTTTTTCTATTTTGTCCTTTATTTTCTAAATGGCCCTTGTACCCCCTTAGCTCGGGTACTCTAGTACTTTCGACGTTTCAGATCTCCATCGATGGTCACCAGTGTCCGATGACACCGCGACGACGCAGCTGCTACCACCAGCCAGGGCCGCGAAGTCGAGCTCCCATCGTCGCGGCCCTCGGCTGCTGCTACCGCCTCAGGACCCAACCAATCTATACTGTTCCCATCTGGGCGTACTGTTGACCTCATAGCTTCGAAGGCCATTATTGTTCTTGTCGTGAATTGTGGCTCGTTTTTTTTTTTTTCTTAAGTGGTACATTTACTGCACGGACACGCTACGGCTGCGACACCCAGGCCCTGGTGACGACTGACGCCCGAGTCGCTCTCTATCTTTGTTCATGCCTCCGGAGAGGATTTTCGCGACTGCCATGACCTGAAACAAATGAGAATTTTGGGTAATTGTATAGTTTAATTGAAAATTGTTAATGTTTTACAGTCGTATTTTGGGGTGAGATTAAATTGAAAATGGGATAATCAATAGATAAGACAATAATTGTTGGCAGCTCGAAATTGTGAAACAAAGAAACCGTCGACTTCGAAGCCAACCAACAATTGTCTCCTCATCAATATGACACGCCTACAAAACACAGCGTGTCCCACAATATCCTACTCAAGGCATATATAAGAGTCAATAAAATCAAGCGGAGTCCATAGGTACAAAAAATCCCACCCTCTTAGCATCATTGCCGAGCAAAGCCGAGCAATAACCCCCCCGTACGAGCCAATTAACCCCATTCCTGGCTCTTGCTTAATTGATACCAAAGATGGCTCCTTTAGCCCAGAAAACATCCCAATTGCCAGCCAACAGCAACTAACGTACGTATACCCACACCTACACACACATGGAGGGTCGCATAAAGAGTACAACGGCATCGCGGTGCCGGAGCCAAGTAAATTGCGCACTCCATTCGAAAGTAATGTAATCGCGACAGAATGAACAGACAAACAGGGCAGGAGGGGTGAAGGGAGTTTTCTCTCTCTCTCTCTCTCTCTCTCTCTCTCTCTCTCTCGTTGCATTCACGTGCCTGGAGCGAAGCAACGAGGGCAGCTTTAAGCTCTGGCTCCCCCGAACTGCATCGACCTTTCCCTCCCCGCCTTTCCGGTCGTTGCAACTCTTGGTTCAAGCTGATAGTCCGGGCTACACTCCGCACGTACCACGTACGATGTGGGCTTACTCTCTGCCGTGAACTTCTTAACGAACAATCCTCACGACTCGTCTGATCTCTCTTTTCTTGATTAGATGATCTTTCGCCGATGGCAGTGTTGGATACTTTCTCGAGCCAGTGGCCCTGGATTGCGAGCTTTTTATTTTCACCTTTTTTTTTTTTTAATTAATTACAATGTGTGTAATAGAATGAAGTTGGGAGCTTTGATATATTTATCAACTCCGATGTTACGCAGCCGGAAATACCTACACGTGGTTCACATGATCTTTTTTTTCACGTGTGAGAGTATTGTAGCCTTCGTAAATTCATCTCAGATTAATTTCAACACAAAGTGAGCGTGATCTATAACATATGTGGGTACTTGATGACATTTTGATCTAACTCGAGTGATTTATATCCGAGGCATTTCGTAAAAACACTGGCACTCATTAAACCCTTACTCGTTACTTATTCCCGAAATAAAAGTCCATTCAGGACATTAGTCTTCAAAAGGAGTCTGAAGGGATGCTTTTTATTCTTTCTAAAATTTTTAGGATCATGTGGTACATGGAATACTGTCCCACTCTCTTATGAATATTTATTTGTGGTATCCATCAAAGGTAACAAGAATAGTTTTATCGATTTAATGCACCACATATATACGATGTGACGGTCGTACCTTATGTAGGTGAAACTCTACTCAAAGTTTTGCGAGCGATTGAAGTATTCATCTGTCTGTGACCTAATTTTCAAAGTGACATCAAAGAAATTAATCCAGCCCAATTAAAAATCCCATTCCTCTTTTCTCCTTCTTTTTTAAGATAAAACTTCCCCAGTTTACAACTTTAATACCCCAATTCTAACGATGACTAAAATGTACGTCCCACAATTCACAGGGGGGGGGGAAGAGAAAAATGTGTGCGAACAGCCAAGGCTTTTCTTTTTATTTATTTGTTTCATTTTACAAAATGCGTAATTCCCTCATCCCCGTGCGCGCAACGTCCCCCCAAGGGACGCCACTTGTTTTCATTATCACTCATTTCTCAAGCTCGCCTCATCCTTCCCCCGTCGTACCTACTCCTTGTACATAAAAACACACGATCCTCCTCCTCTCCCAAACGTATACCTCAACTTTAAATTTGATATCGATTCCACTTTGTCTCAGCCCCGCTTAAGCGCCCGTCATCCGTCCATTTGTTTTCCTTTTTTTCCCCCCATCTTCATTCTTTATTATCCCTCATCATGGGGTGATGGCAACGTCGCTAAGTGGCTATTCCTCATCCAATTTCTCGAGGGACGCCAGGGAGAAGAAGCAAGTAGCAGGTACTTGGTTCGTTTCTTTCGTGTTTGTTTTTTTTCCCCCCTTTTTGCCTATATCTACCTCCATCCAGTACCACCAGTCCTCTCCCACCGCCGCAGCGACCAACTTTTCAAATTTGAAAATGTGGCCCGAGAGTGAGGCAGGCAGCGAGTTGGGGAAGCGCCACTACTGGGCTTTTTAAAAATTTAAAGTGCCCCTCCGGGGAGCTCTGGAGCCGGAGGAAAGTATTTCACGCGCAAATTTTTGTAATTGTGTTAACAAGCCGGCTTTCGAGGAACTACTTAAAACCGAGGCGAGTTCTTGAGCTTTTTTTTGGCGCGCTGGTAAACTTTTCGCGGCCGAGTACTTTGCGCGCCGACTGTGACGAGATTCCACGGGACTCGGAATTTAGGGGCAACGCTGGTAATTGAAAATAGGGAATGTTTTTCTATTACATACGTGTAGCGTAGGAACAATGTGTTTTTTTTGAGATATTTTTTCGGAGTGTTCGGTCACGATGGAAGCGTAGATGAAAATGGTTGAAAAATTTAAATCAACGCTGTGCGTGAAATTAAAATTTGCACAGCAGAGAGTTTTTCATGGTGGTATACTCGTTGATTGCAAATATTTATGCGACACTAACGAGCTGACCAAGGATGTTTTTTCAAAGTTTTTAATCACCACAAAACTCTTTCGGCTTTGTTTACGCTTCATCTTTAAATTTTTATACTGCAATGGTACCCTCAACATCACAAATTCTATGAATGCATAATTTTTTTTTTTTTTTTTTTTAGAGTCACTAGGACTCAACTTTGAAGATTAAAAATCTTGAATTCGAGTGAAATAATAATGACAGCGACAACTTTTACGATGCAATCTCTGTACGAGATGTACACACCACATAACCAGGGGACAATTGACGTCCAGGACGAAACTTTTCAGTTGTAAAAATGTGAGAACATCGAAAATGGTGACTTGACAAAATTCAACACCACAAAATTCAATGAAGCCCAACTTACGTCGCCGCCACCGGCTTCAGCCAACTTGTTACGTGTCGCGCAGTCGTATGCGGGTATAATAACTCGCATGTGCATAAACTAAACATAAAGTTTGATTGGCGGTGCGAAGTTACGCGGGTTGGGTGCTCTGAACAACAAGAATGAAACACGGCAGGGAAATTTGTTCGTCTCGAGCAAATATTGTAGAAAAGTACGCTAGAGTAGAGATGAGTTTGAGATCGACCAGTGAAGATAAACAATTTCTTTTGTGCAGTAGAATGTTTATAAGTTTTTTAAAATGTTGACTAAAATTTTCATCTAAATACACAGATAAATGATGAAAGTAATGTGATGGAGCGATAACCTTACCCTTCAAACTTTCAAGTGGATTGAGTAACATTATTTGAATACTCGAATATCAGTTCGATAAACAGTTAATTTTGGACAAACGCGTTGAGTACACAATGTTTGTCAACTCAAAAACCCGTTTTCATCTCTCTTAGTTAGCGAATATGATACTTTGGTATAAAACACAAGATACACGCCATAACGATCGCTGACCAAAAATCGGTAAAATGCAAACGAGCACGTGACACGAGGGAGCCGTAAGCCTCGAGCTTTTACGCTTACGGCGGGTGGACGCGTGACGAATAAGCAAAGAAGTCGCACGTGTCACCAGATTTCGAATTCGCCGCAGGAGATGTTTTCTTTGTCTTGTATACCACAGTCATATAACTTACAGTAGTTTGGGCGCAATTTCAGGAGTGTCAACGTGTTCCAAAGTGTTTTAGAATCTTTTTCTTACTGGACCTGAGATTATTTTTTTATTTTTACACAAGAGTGTTACTTTTTGATAATCAACATGCGATGTTCAATTTCTCATACTTGCAGAGGTTGCTGAGTAGTATTAGCGAGAAAAATAGTTATTTTAGGCACTATTATTAAAGCTCAGATCAAAGCACTCACAGCTGAAATCTCCACTCAAAAGAAGTGTGTGAAAAAGCTGAATTTCGCGCCTAGAGTGGCAAAAACGACGGGCAAGGCTATCAATCTGGTAATCGAGTGAAACGTCAAAAACACCGCAGCCCGATTAAATTTCCAAAGTTAGAAACCGGATGAGCTCCGAATTAATCGAGCTCGCGAGCGCTTGGGTACAAAAATTATAATTAAACGCCCATCCATCATCCCGCTTTGGCCAAACCCACTCCACTGATCGATAATAGTCAATTTTGCATGAACTCACCCGCCCCTTTGTTTTATCTTCACACTGTTATCGCTTCCAAAGATACACTCTTTAATCCAATAAACGATGCAAAATAACGTTCAACCCACAACGCGAGCTGATATTAAATTCAATTAACTTTCAATGCCACACAAATCGAAAAGTAATCGTGACGATACGAAATTAAATACTTATTGAAAACGCATCATACGAATGAATGGACGAGC